GCGACAGCGACAGAGAGTGGGACTGCACGGCCGCCCCGGGGGCACACGCCGAGCGGCAGCGTCGCGTCAGCCAGCGTCAGCCAGCGTCAGCCAGCGTCAGCCAGCGTCAGCCCCAAGGACTCAAGGACTCGTCAAGGAGAAGAGCCTCCCTGTCGAGACGAGCCAGCCAACCCCCACTCACCCCACTCACCGCAACGCAAACGCCTTCAAGGACCCCGAGAGGGGCAGGATGGGATGACGCACCTGAGCGGCCGCATGCCACGGCAGAGCCACGACATGCCAGCGCAACGAGTGGCAAACCCTACCGGCCCTTCAACCCTTCCCTGCCTTGGCCCGGTAGGCCCCACACTGAAAGGACGGCATACCGAAGGGATTACGCGGCGCGGACAATGATCGCCCCGACACGCACGCACTCCAGTCTACAGTCGGCCGCCGTTCATTCACTAATTCACTCCGAGAATTCGGTTTGACGATCTCGACCCGCATTACGTCATACAAGGAAGATCCTGATTCTCATACGTTCCATTCAATAATTCGTTCATTCGTCACTTACGCAAGTCATTCATTCATTCATTCATTCATTCATTCATTCATTCATTCATTCATTCATTCATTCATTCATTCATTCATTCATTCATTTCTTCAAATTCATGCATCCGTTTCGGCATGCTTCCATCATGCCCCCCGGCATCCATTTGTCATTCATTGGACTCAGCGTCCTCATCTGCGATACGCGGACTCCTCGGCGGGCGTGGCTGGCACGCCCCTACTCCTGGTGCAAAAAAAAAAAAAAAAAAAAAAAAAGGCGGTCGGGAGTTGATGCAGACTCACCCCTGTTCTGTTTGAGACGACGACCCGGCCCAATAGGCATGCCTGCAGGTCGAGTGGCCGCGCTACAGCGCTACTCTACTTACACCCCCTCCCCCTCCCCCTTCCCCTGCCCCGCCCCTCACGCACCTTGCCCCACATCCGCCCACGTGTTCACACATCGCAACGACTCAGTGGACGCACGCCGGCCGGGCCGCGCGCCCGCGGCGTGCCCGGCAAAACAATCACCGCCGCACCGATAGAATAGGAGGAAAAACAACTACTAAAAAAGAAAAGAAGAAGAAATCTTTTTAGCCGGACAGACAACTTGCAACACAGCAACTGCGCGAAAACGCGGCCTGTCGCAGATTACGAACGCAGCCCCTCACCCGTCCATCTGTCTTTCAGGGTCCCCGCTCGCAGAGGAACATTTGTCAAAATTCCAGGGTGACGTCTCGGGGCGAGTACAAGACAACCAACAACGCAGATGTAAAACAAAATCCACGCTTGCCCACCGGTGAGGACGAGGCTGCAGCAGCAGAGCGATTCCGATAGTCGTCACTGTGGCAAAAAGGTACGGAAAATCCTGTTAATTTTTTTGCCAGGATTCTCCGTAGCCCTCTTATCAATATTCTCCGTAGGCTCTTACAGTATTCTCCGTAGGGCCGCACAGTATTTTCTGTAAATCCGCACAGTCTTCTCCGTAGGACCTCGAAGACTGTATAGTCCTACGGAGATCACTGTGCGGTCCTACGGAGAATACTGTGCGGTCCTACAGAAAATACTGTAAGAGCCTACGGAGAATATTGATAAGGGGCCTACGGAGAATTACCACAAGCTGTTTACAGAATTTTCCGCAGCTTTTTGCCACAGTGGTCGCTCTGTCTCTCTCGCACTCATGGGGCGTCCCGTATAGGTGCGGGAGAGACAGAGCGACGAAAACGGCTGCTGGCCCGGAGCGACGCGCACCGCGCCCGCCACGACATCCGGCCCGGCCTCCTCCAAGAAGACGTCAGGCCGCCAGGCCACCACAAAGGCGACGTGCTGCTGCTGCTTCGGGGCCTCGACGGCCTCCACGACGGCGACGCGACAGCCCTCCGCCTCGGCGCAGCGACGCAGTGCACCGTCGCCATGCGAGCCGTGCGCGCGGGGGAAGGGGCGACCAAGGGGCGACACACGTGTGGAGGCGCGCCATCCCCGGGACACGTGCTGCCGTGCTGCTCAACCACTTGCTTGGGGGGAGGGGGGCTTAACAGGCGCACGGACGGCACCCGCGAGCACCCGCGTCACGACGCGACGGTGACGAAGCAGAGCACCAGCTCCCGAACAGACGCCGCATTGTCCGCAAAGGGCTCCGCAGCTGCGGCCTCGCGATAAGGCGGTGCTGCCGAGTGCGATTCGATCCTCCGTCTCTCTCGCACCCCTCCCGAACGCGAGCACGCCCCGCGAGAGCGAGAGAGACGGAGCAACGGCGGGCCCCCAAACCCCGCGAGCTCGCTTTCCCGCGCGATGCGGCCAACCCGTCATTAGACACTCGTCAAAATCTATCGCACTCCAACGCAAACAATCGGCCCGGCCGCACGGGGCGGGGCGGGGCGCGCTGGGGCGTGCCAAGCGCCGGCAGGCCCGCCCCGCCACCGGCAGCCACTGGCCAGGACGAGACAAAAGAGGGTGCTATTAATCGCGCGTTGTTGGTGGCGGCCCGGCGGCCTGGCGGCGCGCACGCCGTGACCGTAACAATGACTCACAATGGGCAGCGGCCGGACAGTGCTTTCGCCGCGCTGTCTCTCTCGCACTCGCGGGGCGTCCCGCAGGGAGTGAGAGAGAGAGACAGCCCGGGGAGGGGCGCCAGCCACCCCGGGCGGAGGACGGCCCGACTAACCGCAGCAGTACAGCGCGATGCCTTTCACCACCACCGCCACCGAGAGGTTCAGCGAGTCGATGAATCCGTTTTCCATGTTGGTCCAAGATTTTGTTAAAGAAAGCGGTAGCGAACTTGCACCGGAAAGGCCCAGGAGGTGCGAACCACCTCCACTACTCCTTCGCGTGGGGCAGTCCCTCGGCGGGGCAGCACTCAGGGCTGCCTGCCCGACAGGCGGCGTGTCGGCGCGCTGTTCGCGGAACATGCTGTCCTGGACGCCGCGGACGCGCCGCGGACGTCATGGACATGGACCGACGCCGATGCGATGTGCGATCTGGGACACGCGACTCGTTTACCTCGCCACAGCATGGCCATCTGCTCCATTTGCGCCACGGCGACGAACATTTGGGCTGGCGGCGCTGGCGGCGCGGGGTCCAGGGGCCGCGACGAACGGGCGCCACCGGGGGGCGCGGCGGCGACGACGTCCAGTACGAGGCACGGCGACGAACGGCGGGGCGGTGGTCAGCCTCCGCCACCGGCAGCCATGGCCCACACGGCACTCACACGCGGCACTCGTCGCCAGGCACGGCGCGCACTGTCACACTGTAGCACTCGCGCACTCGCGGACGCGCCGAGGCACTCGCGGGGGCGTGGCGCCTTGCGCGGACGGCGGGGATCTTCGGCGCGGGACGGAGCAGCAGCGCGATCCAGCCGCCGCGAGACTCACCACTACATTGGCGGCGTGGCGGCCTGCCTGGCCGCGGCGGGCATCCCGACATGTGTACCGCGCCGCCGCCCGCCCCGCCACGGCGCCGATAGCGTGCTCCAGGGCCCCGCGGGGCGCGAGAGGGGCGCGGGGAGGGGGAAGGAGGGGCACGCAGAAAGTGAAGGTGGGGAGCTGTACCACTGCAGGGGGCCGCCAGGGCCCCGCTAGGGCCCCGCCAGGGGTGCGTTACATGATAAGAAGCCAAGCGGGCAGACTGGGCCACGCGCTTTCCCGCACCCGCCCCACCCCACCCCGCCCCGCCCCGCCCCGCCCCGCCCCGCCCCGCCCCGCCACGCACCGCTGCCACCACGCTCTTCCGGCACCACTACCCTAGTGCCGCGGCCCGCAGCGCCGTCGTCGTGCCGCTCCGGGCGAGGGGGCGGCGGGGGCGGCGCGGAGCTCGACGGGCAAACCCGGTAGTGCTCGCTGCGCGCCGCGCGGTCGCCAACCTCGATACAGGAACCGCGAGGAAGGCCCGGATGGCCCGGATGGCCCGGATGGCCCGGATGGCCCGCACGCCGCATCCCCTGCCCGGCCCCATGCACCGCCCGGCCGCGGCGCGCGAGAGATGCGCGCGCTCTCTGTCCGGCCCGTGGCTGCCTTTGCTGCCTGTGGCTCGGGGCCCCGGCTGGTTGGCTGGTTGCGCCAGGGACAGCCTGGCCCGCCAGACCGTCGCTGAAAACGCGATCCCCGCGGCCGCGCCGCCGTGCCTCGCGCCGTGCCTCGCGCCGTGCCTCGCGCCGTGCCTCGCGCCGTGCCTCGCGCCGTGCCTCGCGCCGTGCCGCCATTGTCATTAGGATCCAGTGCGCGACGCGGCGCCGCGGAGTTGCGAGAGGCGCGAAGCGCGGAAGGACCCAGTGGCACACTACACTGCAGTGTAGTGCCACGGCAACCGTGCCGCCGTTGGAGTGGCAAGGCAAACAGCTTCACTGCACCTGGAAAGGTGTCGTCTCGTCTCTCCTCGGAGGGAGCGTCCACAGAACTCATCATGAGAATAAGTGGCGCTCCAGAGCATTGGCAAGAGTGACTCTGAGGACGACGCCTATAGCGCGTCAGGACGAGACGCCCGTTAGACAGGACCGCAGACGCACCCAACTCGGAAAAAAACTGGAAAACCTCGACTCGAGACTCGTAACTTCCAAGCTCGCGGCGGCTTTTTAGTGTGCTGCCTCTGTCTGCCTCCTGCGAATAGGCTGGCCAACAGTGTGCAGCCGGGCCGAGCCAGGCTGGGCGGCTGGCAAGGCGGCTGGGCTGGGGGTGGTACACTGGTGGAACCATGGTGGAACGGGGCCACGGCAGGGCTTGCGCGGCTTGCGTCACCGCGATGCTCCCTGAAGCGCCAAGCGCAGCGGCAGCCAGGCAGCCAGCCGTCATGCAAGACGCACGTAACGCTGGCGTAACGCGAGGCGTTCTAGAGCGAGGAGAAGCCCGATGGCCGATTAGGCGCCACTGGCGCGCTCTAGCGGACCAACGCCGTGCACGCGGCGCAGTGCGGCGCAGTGGGCCAGGAGGACATGACTCTGGACCTCAACAAAAAAAAACACAAAAAAAAAACAAGAGACTTACCCTCCGCCATGTAGGGGTTGTGCGGCACGCTGGGCGGCGCGGGGGTGCCGGGGTGGCTGCCGGCCACGGACGGCGCGGGGGTGTTGTTGTTGTTGTGCCCGGCCAGGAGATCGGTCAAGTCCGGGACGGACTCGATGAGGCCGGGGCCCACCTCTCCGCAGGCGCGCTCCCGCTCCACATCTGCAAGCACACTCTGATTAGTCGCCTGCCAGAAACAAACACTCACACACGCACGCACACACACAAAGACAACCGTCAACGGCGAGGGTCACGGATTGGTGCAACCGGTCGAGTACAGTGTGCCTGCCGGCCTGGCGGGGCGGGCGGGTGCCGGGCCGGGTCACTAGCCCGGTGCGCGCGGCGCGGTTGCTGCGTTCGCTGCGTTCGCACGGCGATGACGCGCCCACAATGGACGAGAAGGCCGTGATCCTGGACGGGGCAATGTCAAGGGCCGTCCGGATCCTCCAGCCAGCCTCCAGCCGGCCTCCAGCGGCGGCCTCCAGCCAGGCCGGCGTGGGAAAACGGCTCGTTTGTTGACCCGGAGCCCCCATGCGGCCCCCGCGGCCCCCGCGGCCCCGCCCCGCCGGCAGTCCGAGTCCTTTCGGTTTCAGCGGGCCGTCGGCAAGCCCGCAAACATTGTGGCAGTCGTCTTAGTTTCCTTTTCAAATTTTCCACCGGTGCCAAGGCAGTGGCCCGTTCGGTGCGTCATGGTGCGTGGTGCAGGCGGATTCCGAACGGTCTCTGTCTCCCTCGCACTCGTGGGGCGCCCCGCGAAGGTGCGAGAGAGACAGCGCGACGCGAGCCTGCCGTCGCCGGTGTCGTGGGAGGCGCGCCGCTGCCCCGCAAGACCCACCAATGGCCACTGCTCCATATTCAGCGGCTCGGGTTCAATATTCATGCCGTTGGCAGTGTGGTGGGCCGAGCGAGCCGCGGCCGACCCTTGGAAAGTCGCTAGAGGCTCGAAGGCTTGAGGCGCGAAGGGAGACGCGGTCCGCGTTCGCGGCGTTGGCGTTGCGCGATGCCCGAGGCGATGCCGACCCAAGCCAAGCCTAACTATAGCAGTGGCGGAGCACTGCCACACTGGCCTTGCCCGCGCCGCGCAAGCCAGAGGCTCCCTATCAGAGTTTCGCCGAGAAAAAAAAAATGTCCTTCAGGCACATTATATAAGGCTACAAAAAACAACGAAAAGTGAAGTCAACGCCGGCGGTTGTCGCTACTGCGCAGTTCGCCACAGGCCGGGCGAACTCGCATCGGAAACGGTCCTGCCGAACTGTCGCCGTTTCGTAGTCCACTGGGAGCTACCTCTTCAGCAGAGCCCCCGCTGACGCGTTGCCCTAGATCCGGAGCGCGCGGAGTACGGTGTAGGGGCGTCCCCAGAGTCCCGCGATAAGCAACCGGTCCCCTCGCGACACGCGAAACGCGCGGGCGGCGCCGTCGAAGACGACGAACGCGTACCTGACCTGGAAACGGCGCGGGCAAAACCAAAACACGGCGAGGCGCGTGAAAAAATAAACAAAAACACGCGAGTTGGTATCTGAACCGCGGCGCGGCGTTGCGGGGGATTCCCCACCACACTGTACTCTACTCACCCTTCTGCAGGATCTCGAGGTGCTCCCACAGGATGTCGCCGACGAAGGGCGGCGTGCGCGCCAGGAAGGACTCCTTGCCCATTTGGCAGATGTCGCGGCCCTTCATGTGGAACTGCTGCAGGGTCACGCCCTCCAGCGAGAACTCGCTCATGGCCCAGCGCAGCCAGAAGTTGACATGCTTCTCGGACCATTCGCGGGGGTCTGCAACACAACACAGGAGGCACTTGTCAAAATTCGGGACGTTATCAGGGAAAAGAGGAAAAGGTCGCTTGTGTGTGCGTGTGGGTGAAAGACAGGGGGGGGGGCGCTTCGCGGGCGTGACTCCGCATCGGCAGGCGGCCAGCCCCGCCACGCCCCGCCACGCCCCGCGTGTGACGGATTGGCGCGAAAACACAACACGGCCATCTCGGTCAAAGCTATAAACGGTATCCTGTGGCGACGCGCGGGCCGCGGGGCGCACCGACGGCTGCGGCGCAAAGTTCGACTCGCCCACGCCGCGCCATGCCGAGCCTTGGGGGCCGCGGACCCCGCCGGGAGTGACCGCTGCTGGCCGAGACTGCTATTTGGTATGAATTGACAAAATAATCGGTGTGAATCCAACGTACTGCACTGTGGTATTCAAAATGAACCATGGTCAGCAAACTTTGCCCTCGAAGGTGGATTAGTGTTCAGAAAGCCAACTGATGGAAGCGAACGGAGTCCGCTTGGTGCTCCGGGACGCACGGCTCACGGCTGTGCGCGCTGCGCGCTGCGCAGGGGGGATTCGACCGTGTAAATCAGCGTCATGCCAGCGGGACAGACAGACGGACCGACAGACGGACACACCGGCCGACAGGTGCGCCTCGGCGCGGCCGTGTGGACGGTGTGGACTCCATGGGCGGCGGTGCGAGACGCACATCACGTCAACCATGGTCAGCACGGTCAGCACCAAGAGTGCCTTCCCTTGTCAGTCCGCGGCGGACAGGAGAAGGAGAGGGGGGGGGGGGGAACCGCAGCGCCGCCACAGCCAAGCCGATGGCTCTTCGCCACGCCCCGCTCCTGAATACAGTAGGACAAGTACATAAATCATGCTGCATCGCGGCCCTCCGCTGGGGCGCGAGAGAGACAGAGCGACATGGCCGGGGCGGGGCGGGGCGGGGCGGAGCCAGCGGACTGGAGAGGCTCTCCGAGGAGTGCGGCGTTGGCCTGGCGCGGCCTGGCGCTGCGGACCGCGGGCCGCGATGGTGCGGTACAGCGGCGGGACGCGGCGACGCGGCCGTGGCGCTGCGATTGGTCGGCAGGCGATACCGAGGCGGCGAGGCGAGGCGCCACGCCGGGGCCGGGGACTCTAGGGGGGGAGAGCCCAGCAGTGGAGGGGGCGCGGTCCATCGGACAGCCTCCGCGGAGCCTCAGCACCGCCCCCCGCGAGGACCGCGACCGCCGCCCGCCGAACACCGATAGCGTTTCGTCTCAAGGGAAACGGCCACTTTCGGGGTTCGGATTCAGATTCAAATTCGGCGAGTCGCGGCAGCCACGCCGTGCCACGCCTCGGGGCGCGCGCTGCCGTGTGACGGCCAGCCTGGCCGGGCCGCCCCGTCCACGTTGTTGTTGTTATTGTTGTGCAGCGCGCCGGGCGGGGAGGAGGGGGCGGGCGGAAGTCATTTTCCGCCTGAGCGACCGCCCCACCTGCAGAGAGAGAGAGAGAGAGAGAGAGAGAGAGCACCCTGCGTAGCCTCGCACTCACACACGCACACTCACTCTCGTCCTCTTGCAGCAGCGCGCATCTTTGTGGAAATCAAGCGAGTGGCACTGGTCGCTGCTCGTCGGCGGGGCCGACGGGGCGGCCGAGAGGCTCGTGTAGGGTGCACGTGTAGCGCGGTGCGGCCAGCCCATAGGCCAGGCCGGCCCGTCTCGGCAGCACAAACGCCCGCTTGCAAAACGGCCGAGCGAGCGCGAGTCGAAGCACGGCGAAGACGAGCCGACGTAATTGGCGAGAGCAGCCCGAGCGGGCCAGCCCCATGAGCCCCACGACGGAGTACGGTGTAGTGTCCCCGGCCGTGGCTTGCAGTGGCGTGGCGCCAATCAGCCCGGAGGATGCACCCATTGTTGCGAGACAGGCTCACTCCGAACAGTGCTTCGTCGCTCTCTCTCTCTCTCTCTCTCTCTCTCTCTCTCTCTCTCTCTCGCCACGACGGGACCGGCCCACGAGTGCGAGAGAGACAGCACCGTTCAGCCTGCGGGGCGGCCACGCGATCGACATGCACTCATGGACCAGGCCCCGGTCGGCCCCACCCCCACCCCCGCGGCCCCCATGGCCGCCATGGCAAGGCGCCCCGAGGATGCAGCTGCACGCACTAACAATGCCAGCACACTGTAGGCTGCAGCAGCAGGCTCATCCCAGCGTTGGGCAACGCCGAGCCCCCCAGGCAGGCAGGCAGGCAGGCAGGCAGGCAGGCAGGCAGCCCCTCCGTGCGATATGATGCCGCAACACTGCAGCAGGCCGTAATAATGCTAATGGCCGGCAGTCGGCACGGTGGTGGGCAGCTAGGCCAGTCCGCTAACGAGCCCGGTCCAGCGGCCTCGCTCTGTCTCTCTCGCACGCACGGGGCGCGGGCCACCCCGCGGGGGGAGCGAGAGAGGCAGAGCCCACCGCCAACACCCACAGCGTCATCGCCGCGCTGTATACGTGCGCGAAATTCGGTGCTGGCGCGTTCAGCCCCCTCTCGCGGTTCGGGCTTCGGGCGTGGTGTGACACTTCGGCCTTGTTTGTCGTGCAAACACGCGGGCACGGCGCGGCGCAGAGTGGCACGCCGCACGCGGCACGCGCTGGCCCGCCAGGCAAGGCGGAAGAGCAAACACCACCGGGCCGGGCGGCCGGAAAAGACGACGCCGACAAAGGTGCCGACGCGGCGACGCGACGGCCGACGTCGCGGTGTGATTCTGCACAGGCCGTCTCTCTCGCACCCCTACGCGACGCGCCGTGAGTGCGAGAGAGACGGAGCGAGGCGCCCGGAGGGCAGGCCGTCCCGCCGCGCGGAGGCCCCCGAGGGTGGCCTACCCGCCATCACCATTACCATTACGGGCTCGCTCCACTCGTTGCGCTGTTTGTGTTCCGTGGATTTCTTTCTCCTTTTTTTTTGTTTTCGGGGAGAGCGCGCGCGCCGCTCTGTCCAACAGCGATACCGGTGTGATGCAAGCCGTCCAGGCCGTCCAGGCCGTCCAGGGGTGCGGACCGCGGACCGGCCGACGGGCTATTGTTCTATTCTTCTCCTTTAACCTACTGGAACAAGCGCCCCAGAGCCAGAGCCCCGAGCCGGGCACCGAGCAGAGGGACCGGGAGGAATCAGAGCGTCGCCGCGACACGGCGCGGCACGGCACGGCGCGGCACGGCACGGAGTGATGCGCTGGATGCGGAACATCGTTGCACGCCACGAAGACGGGCAGGGCGGGCAGGACGGGCACGCCAACGTAACGCGGTGACAAAGTGGGCCAGCGCCCCGTGACGCCGGGCGCCTTTCAATCATTCAAACGAGAAGGGAGAGAGAGAAACTTGGCGAAAACAGAGGAAAGCAACTGGTGTCTGCGGGCGGTGTATTCGGGGTACGCGCTCCGTCCTCGCACTGGGGGGCGCCGTGCCCGGCCTGCCCGGCGTGCGTACGCACGCGGCGAGGCGTGTTGACTCCACGACACCTGCACTGCGAGCACCGCGTGCACCGCGCGCCGCGGGCCCACGAGAGGAAAAGGGGGACTCCCAGGCCTCGAAAAAAAACAAAAAAAAAACACAAAAGGAAACACCGCGCGCTTTACTGATTTAAGGTTACTGTAAGGTGAAAAAACTATCTTCCAAAGTATAGGTGGCAGTGCTTTGGTTTTTGGTGATTTAGTTGCTTACTATGAAAAACTTTTAAAGCCACAGACTGGACTCCCAACTCCCATTAGTTCCAAAGTTATGAGGGTTTTAATGTTATTTTAGTCGTTTACTAAAAATTCTCCTTGCGATGAACCAAAAAGTTTACGGAGGTGTGATTTTTTATTTTGAAGTTCAATGGACATGCAAACAAACTAGCAAAGCCGGATTTGACAATATATGCATAGGATGGCCGGAATTTGTTTTTGGAAAATGTGATTTTCTTTTTTTACTAAATTTAGTAAAATTTTGGTAATTTTTTTTGTTTTTTGAGAAAAACTCCTGTTTGATGTTGGAAATTTGGAAATCCGGCTTTGCTACAAGATAGACAAAGCAATAAAGAGCTTGTAAAACAAAAATCAAGTCTCGACAATTTTTGGTTCATCGCAAGGAGAATTTAGGAGAAACGACTAAATTTGTTACGTAAACTTCAATAACTCAGAAACTAATGGGAGTTGGGTTCCTCAACTTTGGGTTTAAGTTCATTTTATAGTAAGCAACTAAAAACCAAAATACAAACATGATGCCACAACTATTGTGGAAAATGATATTTCACATTTTTTTCACTTTACAGTAACCTTAACGCTCCTCACGGCGCTGACCACACAATCACAACCGACGACCGGGGCGGGGCGGGGCGGGGCGGGGCGGGGCGGGGCGCGGCGGCCGATTGGGTGTACCGACAGAAGAAGATTGGGCTGGGCGGCCCCGGCTAAAGGCCCGGCGGGGTGGGGGCTTTAATCGAGGCACGCGACCGTCGCCTCGCCGAGGGCCGGAAACGGGAGGAGACAGAGCGAGAGAGACGGAGAGCGGGTCCTTCCGTCCCGACCCGAGGAGCAGACAGAGACAAGGCGAGGCTGAGGCGGCGGGGTGATTCACCGAGCCGATCGTCGGGGCAGGCAGGGCAGGCAGGCCAGGCAGGGGCAGCCACATCGGACCGGCAATCTGCAGGCGGCGCCAGCAGGCCGACTGTCCGTCTCTCTCGCACCCACACGGTGCGGCCCGCGAGTGCGAGAGAGACAGCCGGCTGCAGCGCCGCGGCACGCCATCGGGACGGCCGGGACGTGTGCGGCGGATGCGCCGATTATTGCAGGCCGCGGGAGGGGGGGGGAGGGGGAGGCCCTAAAACGTCACTCGACAAGACGCGACCTTCCCACATTAACGAGAAGAGGACGCGACACTTTCCCCCGTTTTAAGTTTGGCGTTCCGTTCGGCGACATTGTATGCAGGCGAGTCAAGTCGTCGACGGCCAGCCTGGGGGAGGGCGCACTGCGCCCCCAGACGGCCGGGCCGGGCCAGACGCACAGTGGGCCAGAAGACCGGTGGAGGTGGCCAAAACTCTAGACGCTCCAGAGTCGCTAAATGGTACTCAAACCGAGCATGTGACCCCACCAATGGATTGCTCTCCGTACGAGGAATCCATTGGTGGGGTCACACGTTCGTTACGAGTCCTGTATAGCAACTATGGAGCTCAAAACGCGTCTAGGGTTTTGGCCGCCTCCACCGGTCTTCTGGCCCACTGTGAGACGGAGCGCCGCGTTCAGCTCTCCCGGGAGGTCCCCGACGTTCGCCACCCTTGGCCGGCGCCGCACCCGCCGAAGCCGATTCCAGGAGCTGCGCGCCTCTGTCTCGAGAGAGCGAGCGAGAGAAAAAAGGCCGGCAAAGGCTCCACTCCACTCCACTGTGCCGTGTCGGCGTCATTACCCGTCGGACAGTCCGACATCGTGTTTACGTAATCAGCGTGTGGGGAGGCAGGCAGGCCATCTGCCGTCACGCGAAGTACCTGTCCTGTCCAGGGCAGAGGCACAGTGAGTCGGTCCGGTCGTCGTCCCAAACAGTTCCGACGACCCGCGAAAGTCGAGCCGGAAAGAACGGGACGGGACGAAAACGGACAGAGGGAAACAGATTTCCCGATTGCCGCTCGAGAGTGCGCGCACGCGCGGACCTCGTGCGGTTTCCGCGTGATCTCGGCGGCAGATTTCAAGTGTTTTGTTTTCGTTTTTTCTTTTCTTTTTTGACGGCGGCGGGCGTTAAACGACTGCAGCGTCAACCGGTGGGACGTCGCCGGACTCCACCGGCAGCACCTCTAGCGCACTGGCAAAAAAGCAGCCGCCCCAGCCGGGCCGTCGTCCAGGCCGGACGGCCAGCCATGCAGCACAGCGCGGCGCGGCGCGGACGGGCGGAAAAATTAGCAGAGCCCGGCCCGGCCGGTCAGGGCGACAGTGGCAGAGGCAGCGACGACGAGTAAAAACAAGGCTGCACTGGTCTATTTCTCATTTTCCTTTTTTCCCGGCCGCAGTGCCGCTCTGCGCTCGCAGAGCTCGCAGAGAACCAGAAAGTGAAAGTGAATTGCAGTAAAGTGCCGCCACCATCAGGGCGGCTCCTGTCCCTGTCGCACGCCATCCAAAACAGCCATCCAGCGCGCCGCGTTTTTTGCCAACCCGCCGCTTTTTCGTCCTCCTGCGCTGTGCTATTTTGTTAATAAACTTTGTGCCCGGCCGGGTCGGCGACCTGGTGTGCGCGCTACCGCACAGTGGGCCAGAAGACCGGTGGAGTTGGCCAAAACTCCAGACGCGTTTTGAGCTCCAGAGTCGCTAAGCAGGACTCGAACCGAACGTGTGACCCCACCAATGGGTTCCTCGTTCGGAGAGCAATTCATTGATGGGGTCACACGTACGGTTCGAGTCCCATTTAGCGACTCTGGAGCTCAAAACGCGTCTAGAGTTTTGGCCGCCTCCACCGGCTTCTGGCCCACTGTTCGCCACGCGCGGAACCACAGTGTCGAGGGCCTGGCTTTGCCGTGCGGCCCGGTGCGGCCGTGACCCCCGCGGGCAGCGGCTGCCTTCCCTCCGGCCTGGACGGCCTGCCCCCTGAAGGATCGTCCCGTCGTTCTGTCTCTCTCGCACCCCCACGCCTCGTCCCTCGAGTGCGAGAGAGACGGCGCGATCCCCCGCAACGAGGCGGCAGGGCGCGGCCATCTCTGGCGGGAGCCGGAGTCGTTTTCCCACGGCCGCGGTCAATAGTCCTGCAGCCCCGCACCTTGACCGAGCGGTGGCGTGGCACAGTCTGTCTCTCTCGCACCCACGCGGGAGGCGCCATGAGTGCGAGAGAGACAGACCGGGTCGCCACCCCCGCACGTGTCCGCGACTCCGCGGCGCCACAGGTGTCGAAGTCAAGCCTCGGCTCGGCCCGCGGCGGAAAGCGGAAGCAGCCCGCGCCCACGCCGCGTCTTGGCGCGTGGCCGCGGTGCGTCCGGCGCGTCCGGTGCGGCCCGCTCGCTGCCCCACTGCCGGCAGTCTGCCGCACCGGAAGCACCGGAAGCACCGGAAGGCGCCGGAAGCGCGGGATGCGCGGACATCGCGGAATTAAGCCGTTCCGCTGCGGATTCCAAGAGTGAACTAGTTCTCGGTTGCGCAACACGCCACACACACACACACACACACACACACACACACACACACACTCACTCACGCACACAGACGCGCATTCTCCGGGCGGCCTAGCGTGGCCGCGTGGCGCGCGCAGCGTGGCGTATCGGCGCGCTTATCACACAGGAACCACGTCTTGGTCCCGACGCCGTCCTGACCCCGTTTCCTCGGAACACGGAAGGAGACGGCCCAGGCCGGGCCGAGCCGGGCCGCGGGGATTCGGACAGCAATTGGCATCGAACACGCGGCGCGCTGGAAGCCCACTAGTGACTGTACACCCACTCGGCCGCACTCGGTGCTCCGTGCCCGACGTGGGTGACGTGTCTACCATGTGGTCCGCGAGACACGCCCGCGGCTACCGTAGGTCGGCACCGTTGTCGCCCGGGTTCAACCGAGTCAGGATTCGTTCCCTCCTCGCACGTCCCGTTTCCAAACGGCAAAGGGGTGCAGACTCCTGCGTCGTACTCACCTTTGGGTATGTTGCGGTTTATCTGGTCTTTCTCCCAAGATGCGAAAGAGGCCTTGAGGGCCTCTGTCATCTTTTTGTTCGTCCCGGGAGTGAGGGGCGGCACTTGCGCCGGGTTGTCTGCAACAGAAAACAACGACGATGCAGTCACACATGCAGTGAGAGAAAGAGAGAGAGAGAGAGAGAGAGAGAGAGAGAGAGAGAGAGAGAGAGAGAGAGAGAGAGAGAGAGAGAGAGAGAGAGAGAGAGAGAGAGGCTGGCGCCGCTGCAGCAAGTCGAGCCTAGCGCCTGGCGGGGTAGGCAACGCGCCGCGCACCCCTGCTCCACGGCACGGCCTGCCGCAAGGGGCCGTCGGCCTCCAGGCCACTGTCACTCTGAAGCTCCTCAAGACACACTTCTCACCCCACGAAGCGACATTTGACGTCCGCGCACCCTGAGTATGGTCTCTTTTTCGCGCCACTGGAACCTCGAACTTTGAACCCAGACGCACCCAGGGAGCACGCCGTCGACGCGTCGCGCTCAGCTCCTTTGTTCGGCAGCGCATGCGTGCCCCCAACGGGAGCCCCAATGGGAGCCCCGCGCCGCCCCGCGGCCCCCTCAGGGCCCCCGAGGGCCCCACCCGACGGGGCCATCATGTGCAGCCAACCGGCACACGGTCAACCCGCCCCGCCCCGCTCCGCCGATAAAGTCTGGACATGCGGCCTCATCCAGCGTGCCGTGCCGTGCCGTGCCGTGCCGTGCCGTGCCGTGCCGTGCCCTGGCGATGCGGCCCCCAGCCGAAATCTGCACGGACACGCAGCGCGCACGCCATCCAGAACAAAGGGGAGTCCCGCGCACCGCGCACCGCGTCCGCGCACCAGGAGAAAAACACAACTTTTGCCTTACAATGTTGGCCACATTGACAACCAGGTCGGAGCGATTGGCAGATAGGGTCGGCTATTCGTTTCAAATGTGACAATTAGACAGCACTTGTTGCGAACTACACGGCACACTCGTCCACAAGGTAATAGTACCATAACCCGTCCCGCACAGACACGGCTGCTTTTTATGTCAGTCTGATGTTTAATTTTGTGCGGAACGGCACGGAGTGACAACCGAGGAGACGACCCCAGGGGCCGTTTTCCGACTTTCACTGACATTTCGAGGTATTTTGTCCGCATTTTCCTCCGGCCCTCTTTGTCACGGACCTCTCCTGGTTCCCCTGGCCGGCCGTTTTCCGTTGCCGAGGTTCGACGCCAGATTTGAGCACGCGTCGCCGTAACGCGTTCCAAAGCGTCACACATGGCGGGGCTGGAAATTTATTTGGGCTGTCGAGGCCTTGGCCGGCCACGGTGCACCCCGTGGTCGGGGCTCCTGATTGCCACCCCCGCCTCGCCTCGCCTCCACATCGGACATCAGCTCGGCGAGCTCGGCGTGCTCGGCACGCATCGGTGCGCGGGAAGATTGCGCGCCCAGGCGAGGTGGAGCCGGGACGCACCCGCCCGGCTGGCTGCCTGCCTGACTGCCTGCCTGACTGCCTGCCTGACTGCCTGCCTGACTGCCTGCCTGGCTGCCCGCCTGGCCGCCTCGGCCCTCGCTCAAATAATAAAATACTCATTTCCAAGACGAATAAACCGAACGGACGGCGGACAGGCAGCCCCAGACGGCCACGGAGTGCACGCACCGCGGTGCAGACTGTCTCTCCCGCACCTCTAGGCGACGCCCTGTGCGTGCGAGAGAGACAGAGCGACGTGGTTGCGAGCGTCGCCATGATTTGGCCAACACCCTGTATGCACGCACGCTGCGTCACTGAGAGACACGAGAGCGGGCAGCGGAGCGTAGAGGACGCGGCACTCTGAGGCACGCACGCACACGCACGCACACACACACACACACACACACACACACACACACACTGACCCACGCAACAGCAGGGCATCCGGCCGCACCCTGTGCACACCTAGCGCACTCCAAAATCGCTGACGACCAATAAAGGGAGACAAGAAAGGCGAGACACGACTGCCATTTACTTTTGGCAGTGCAAGCAGTCGAACTGTCTCGGCTGCTCCTTGTCACGATCGCCATAAGGCCAAGTGGCGTTCACCTGCCGGCACACTGCACTGCGCGCTGCATTGCGGCGATGCGGGTGAGACCGGGTGGAGCAGCCTTGGGGTTGGGGCCGCTGGGCCCTGGGCCGCTGGGCCCTGGATGCAGTGCTGCCAACGACTGCAGGCGAAAGCGCCTTGCAAGTCTGCCTTAGTCAAACACGCCAGGTGAGGGGTGCGGTGCGCCGCCATGCGCTCGTGTGTGGGAAACTTCCAAACAGGTGGCCGCACCCTCACCCTCCCACTCCCCTACGGTGGCGCAGCACAGCGAGGCGGCCGCTCCCACGGGGGACCCTCCAAAAGGGAGGGAGCGAGAGAGAGGGAGGGAGGGGATCCGGCGAGCGCCCTCGGCACCCCCGGCACTTTAGACGGACTGGCGCGCGGCAGGGCAGGGCCAGCGCCAAGCAGGCCGCCAGCACGGCCGAAACGGAAAATGGCCTCCGGGATTGGAAACCCACAGCGTCGCGGCGCCGCGCGAATCGCTCGGGCCGTTACTCCGCGCGTTCCGAGACGGCGCTCTCTGTCTCTCTCGCACTCACGGCGCGTCGCGGACGGGTGCGAGAGAGACAGAGTGCCGTTTCGGAATGCGCGAGGCCTGCGAGGCAGCGATGCCTGACGCGCGGCGTGGCGAGGCGTGGCGGTGCCCGGCGAGGCGAACGACGACGACGCGACGCCCAGCCCGACGCCCAGCCCAGCGCCCAGCCCAGCGCGCAGCACAGCGCCGCCCCCTCCAGCCGCGATTTCGCAAGCGGTCCGCGCCGCGCCAAGCCGCGCCACGCCGCGGTGCCAACATGGCGCCCACAAAATGGCGGCCGCGGCCAGCCTGGACCAGCCCAGGACACTCGCCGAAGTTCGGAAGCCGAGCTGCGATGCCGAACATCGATTCGTCGCTGTCTCTGTCGCATCCCCATGGAGCAAGCCCCATGGGGGCGACAGAGACGGAGACTGCTCTTCTGAAAAACCACTCGGCACAGGGTTTCGCGCTTCGCGCCCCAAGGACAAGCAGCCTCTTCGGCCGCCGGACGGTCTTCTCTTTTAGACACGCGCGGGGGATGTGACGACAAGGCGTGAGCGAGGCCACTGTTTAGTAATCCACATACACACACGCTCTGCAGCTATGCACGCACACACACGCACGCACACACACACACACACACACACACACACACACACACACGCACGCACGCGGCAGGTGCGATCTCCAGGGGTGGGGGTGGGGAGGGGCGCCTCGTGCAGAACCGTACAGGCCGTACTGGCCGTCAGGCCCAAACAGAAGAAACGCGTCTGTCGGACACCTGCTGCCAGCATGACAGTCAGGCGAGCCCCCCCCCCCCCCACACACACACACTAACACACACTCTCACGGGCTTATTAGCACGAACTGGCGGACAGGGCGCGCGCTGAGTGGGTGGCGTACGACCAAGGGCCTACGACGACAGACGCGAAGAGTCGGGCGGCAACGAGTACTAAGTAGGAAAGGGTCCCCTTAATCGATCCTCAAGTATTCTCTGAATCCCCGCGTGGGACATTACTAATCGGGTCATGGACTCCTGTGTACGCACATCTGAAAAGTGACTTGTCATGTACTTGCCAGATACAGTATCGCACTGAAAATCGGTTTAGGGGCCGAAAGGAGTCTATGGGTGCAAGCACTGACCATCGAACTTCATAGTGTGCGCGACTTTCGGGCCGTGCTGCGCCGCGCCACCCACTCCGCGGCGTGCCCTCCATAGTGCCAACAACGCACGCGGCGCACGCGGAGAGGATTGCGACACCGCCGCGAGTTGGGCGGAGCGGGGGGGGGGGGGGCGTCCCCAAACGGGGTGGCGGGGAACCTCCGCCGAGAACACATGCACTTGCACTATCTCGCGAGGCACTGAGGAGGCGGCGCCTGAAAAGGAACCCTGTCTGCGCACGAGATACGGTTAGAAAATCTGCGAACCGAACCGCCTCTTTAAAATTGCAACACCTCACTGTTATTCAACGAATGTGACGTCACGTTCGTTTGAATGTGAATTTTGTCACATTCGTTTGAATGTGATGTCACATTCCTTTGAATGTGATGTCACATTCCTTTGAATGTTGATCCACGCTTTAACGAATGTGACACCCGCATCAGACGGCCGCATGATGGCCGTGTCACGTTCAAACGAATGTGACATTACATTAAAACGAACGTGACAAAATTCACATTCTAACGAATGTGACGTCACATTCGTTGAATAACAGTGCTGTCGTACGCGCCTCAAATGTTCCCAGTAGCCGCGGCGGAGATTCCATGACTACTATCACACCAGTCCAATACTATAAGCGCGTGCTCTTATCTGAGCGCGGCCAAGAGCGCCAAGAGCGCCAAGAGCGCCAAGAGCCAGGACCTCTCCTTCAAAATAGATAAGCGTCCGGTGCAGGTGCAGACACGGCGTCAGTACATTTCCGAAGCATTCCTGTGCACGCAGGAAGCCAGCCACTCACTCGCCGAACGCTTAGCCAGCATTCGAGAGACCAGGGCACCCTGTGTTGAGACGCTCCCAGGCCATGTCCCCAGCGAAAACGCACCACCCGATGAATTTCACTCGGTTACGCATGCCATTGATTTCGGTCACGAATCTGAGACTGCGGCCCCGCCCCGCCCCGCGGTGGCCTGGCCTTTCCATCAGATCGCTGTTTCGCCTAATAGATTAATGCCATGGGGGCGCGCTGCTGCTGGACACACTATTCATTACCACCACACTGCGGTGCGGGTCGCGCCCCCTACACTGCTCCAGCCCCCCGCATCGCCTCGGCATCGCCGCATCCCGATTCCGTCATTCGGACAAATTGTGGAGGCAGCCGACGCCTCGGCCTCGGCTCGGCCTCGGCTCGGCCTCGGCTCGGCCACCCCGAAACTCTTAATTCGATTCGCGGGGCATCCGTCTCAATTGCCGCCAGGCACGCGTCCCGACAGCCCCGATGGGCTGGGGGCTCGGCGGGAACCCGGAGGGAGGCTGGAGGGAACGTGGAGGGGAACCTGAAGGAAGCCTGGAGGAAGGCTTCAGGGAAACTGAAGGGAAACCTGGAGGAAGCCTGGAGGGACGCTTGAGGGAAACTAAAGGGAAACCTGGAGGAAGCCAGGAGGGACGCTTGAGGGAAACTAAACGGAAACCTGGAGGAAGCCTGGAGGGACGCTTGAGGGAAACTCAAGGGAAACCTGGAGGAAGCCTGGAGGGACGCTTGAGGGAAACTAAAGGGAAACCTGGAGGAAGCCAGGAGGGACGCTTGAGGGAAACTAAAGGGGAACCTGGAGGAAGCCTGGAGGGACGCTTGAGGGAAACTAAAGGGGAACCTGGAGGAAGCCAGGAGGGACGCTTGAGGGAAACTAAAGGGGAACCTGGAGGAAGCCAGGAGGGAACTGGGGGTCCGCTACAAACAATGGACATGCGTTCATTCGAGGCTAAATTGGAAGTTATTCGGGTTAACGTTTTGCATTTGCAAACGCTTGTCGCGATGTCAACCCCGTCCAAGGCAGCGCAGCTCTGGATCCCGACGTGTGACTTCCATCACTTGCTGGTCAATTGATGAGGGCGAGGGCGTCTAGGAGGAAAGTTACTGAGAGCCTCGGCGTTAGCGATCACCCACATCGGCCATAACTTTGAATAACTGACAGGAAGGCAGCGGACACCAAGTGGACACCAAGCGGTCGAGAAGGCGGTAAGCAACCACAACAAAACCCAGCCAAACTACACTAGTAAACTACTCGTCGGCGGAGCGACAGTCGGTACGAACCATTGCGCTGAACAAGCGACACAGGGTGTCCTGTCGAAGAAAAATAAAGGGCTTTAAAACAAAGCTGGGGCCACAAACACACGCACACACACACGGACGCGCACAAGCGGACGAGCACACAGATGCAGACATGACCAACATTGAGGCGTGACCCAAGTGACCCCGGAAAGCGCTGCTTTCGGACGGCGGGCCGCGGCGGTCGCGTCCACGCGCCATGCTTACCCCAACGCAATTAACAACTTCCCCCGACTCCACGGACTCCACCTTCGCCTCGGCCGAGTGCTCATCGTCAGCAACGCCCGCCACGCCAGCGGCTCAAAGCGACCGAATTAGACGGCCGGCGAGAGGCAAGGCGACGAGGGGGCAAAAACTCGCGCAATCATGTGTACACGGCCCCCGAAATCACACGCGAATCATTGAGAATCACGCGAAATCAAGCAATCCGAAATCAGCCAAAATCACTAAAATCGACCGAAATTAGGCAGAATCACACGAAACCAGGCCAAATCAGTCCGAAATCATTTCTTTCCGAACACAATCACACGCAAGCATGCTCAACATCACCCTGGTGCGTCGCGAAATAAGGCAAAATCAGCCATGAAATCAATTAAAACCATGCGCAATCATTGCGTTTTCCGAATCATGTGTACACGAAAATCCCGAGTTTTTGCCCCCTCGCAAGGCGAGGTAAAGGCCTTTTTTTACCTTTCTCGCCGCCGGACAAAGAGGCTCCCTGGCCGCCCTGGCCCGAGCCCTGGCCGGCCACCGCCAGAATGGCCAGTGCTTTCCCAAGTCCGCGGCGCCGGCATCGACATGCACCGCCACTGCCACGATGGACCCACTTCCGCCCACCAAAGCCGTGGCCTGCCTCGTCCGAGTCGGCACCGACAGCCGCTTCGTAGATAAGCCCAAGGCGGCTCCGTTTTTGGGCGTGTACCAGCCTCACCGGATATGGGGCGCAACCCGTGTACAGACCAGTGAGTCCCAGGCCGGAGGGGGGAGGGGGCGGGGGCGGGCGCACCAGTGGAGGGGCTCGTACCGAAGTGACACGCGCACACGCACACACACTCGTGCGCACGGGCGTGCGGGGGAAGGGGGGGGTACAGACAGAGGCACTATGAGGCACTATGAGGTACTCACAGCCAGACGCGCGGAAGGCAGCACTAAACATGTCCATGCGGCCGGCCGTGGGTCCTCGTCCATGCCTGCTTGTCCACGACCAGGACCGGGAACACGGGCTCACCTTTTGTTCGACAACACGATTTCATCGTCTTCATGGCCCAGACGGCGCGGGGGTCCCAGTCTATATACATTTGCTGAGTGACTAGGCTTGCACACTGAGATCACGATGCACCACAAACGAACGCACTCGTCACGGTCGGCACCGCCGCGCCATCGCGGCACACGCGGCCGTCGCCTCCGAGGACCCCGTCAGGGAGGACCCCGTCAGGGGGAAGCGTCCTCCACGCTCTTCATGTGGACCTCCGCCACCACTGGTCACACACGCACACACTGACGCGCCGTCACACTGACACTGTCACAGATCCCGCCACACACACTGTCACATACACCGTCACACACGCACACTGTCACAAGCACTGTCACAAACACTTGTTGCGCGAGTTGCCGGCAGGCTTGACGGCCCGGGCTTCGTACAGGCGGCGTGGCGAGGCGTAGCGAGGCTGGCCGAGCACTGACGCGGGGCGGCCCGCCCGAGGCCCGAGGCGAGGCGCGTCCCGACGGCCCCCTCCCTCCCCCACCCCCTTCCGGGCCTGCCGCCTTGCTGCCGCCTGCCCCTCCACCCCCCTGCCCTGCCCTCCCCTCCACGCCGCCGGCCCGGCTCAGCTTTATGAATGAACTGCGCGGCTAGCCGGTCCGGAATGCCCTGCCTTGCCTGTGGCCTGCAGTGGGCCTGCCCGGCCCGGTCCGAGCCTCCGAGTACTACGACTACCCGAACGGCCGAACGGGCCAACGAGCTGAATGGGAAGGGGCCCCTGCCACTCGCCCTGCCATTCACAGCCCCTCAAAGGGCCCCGCGGTCCACGACGTCCACGGCGGCCCCGGGTCAAAGGCCACGGCGTCACTGCCAAGCCAAGTCACCGCCCTGCCACCTCGCGACTAGAGACCCCTGAGCTCGGCGGGGCCCTCGGCGGGGCTGGCGGGGCCCCCGCTGGCAGGCCGCCACCGCCGCGTAGTATTTCGGGCCGCGGTGCCGCGCGGTGCCGCGCCAACGCGAACATGGCCGTCCGCCAGGTGCAGGGCAGCGCAGGGCCGCGCAGGGCAGCAGGGGACGCATGGCTGCAGCGGGGCGGCGGGCTGCACTCATTCACAGACTCATTCAGCGCGCCCCAGCCTGCCCTGCCTGCCCCAGCCCCAACCGTGCGAGCGGGGCGACCCTGCGGCGCTGCCGGCGCACGCCACCGCCGCCTCAACAAGTAGTGCCTGTTGCCCTACGATTGCCCCGTGGCGACCCCTAGCAAGGGCGCCCCGGATCCGCGAGCGCCGCCCGCCGCCGCCCCGTTCGACGCTGACCCTACAGCCCATCCGAGCGGCGGGCGGCGGCCAGCACTGGCTTTTACGAGGTGGCCGCGCCGTGCCGTGCCGTCGCAGGTCGCAGGACAGGGCAGGACTTGCGCCTCCAGTACAGGTTTCCCGAGCTCCGGGACTCCGGGACGGACTGGGGGGCCCAGCGGCCCAGCGGCCCAGCCCGGCGGTCAGGACCCGGCCAGGTCCGCCGACACAGGCCTGCAGTCCGGCAACGCCGCGCCAGGTAGGCGAGTAGCGACACCACACCGGAAGCGGGGCGGGGGAGGAAGCGGGGGAGGAAGCGCGGCCGGGGGAGGGGAGGGGGGGTGCGTCGCCCAGGTAAATTCATTATACGCGTCTCAATCAGGATGGCCAATTCCAGTTCCAGTGCGACGCTGCCTGCCCGGCCTGTCGGCCTGCCACGGCTGCCGTCGCCTTGACGACCTGCCCTGCCTGCCGGGCGGCGTCCCCCCCCCGGGCCGGCGACGCCGCGACGCCCTGAGCCGGTTCAATAATCGTGCCGTGAGAGCGGCGGGGCCGAGCCGGGCGGGGCCGGGCGGGGCGGGGCGGGGCGGGGCCGCCACCGGACTGGACGGGAAAAGCAGTCGCCCGTGTGTCTCGGACATCGATTACACGCCTGTGACAAAAATCGGGCAGCGGCGCGGCATCCCCTCGCGGAGGCCCGGCAAGGCCCGGCAGGGCACACTGTCCACTTCCTTTCAACGGGAAAAAGGGGCACTACCACAAAGGAGAGCACAGGCCGTGTGTGTGTTGTCTCAGGGACCCCTACACGCCCAGGGTCGGATCGTAGAGGACCGGGAGGAAGACGACGCGGCACGCGGGCGGGGGAGAGGCAGGAAGTGACGTCAGAGGGCAGCGGCAGCAGTGTGTCAGCGGCGTGGGGAAGGTTGGGGTGCATCGCCTGGGCCGCGCTCACACACACTCTCACACACACTGATGCCACGCCGCGCCACGCCCCGCCGCCGGCCTGGGACGGAGGAGGCCCGGCAGGCCCAGCCAGCCAGGTCTGAGTCTGAGACAGTGCCGCCCCGTGTAATAGCTCGCCACGAATCCGGTTCCCACAGCGCACCTCTCTGCACCTCGCCGACGACACGCCGACATGGGGCCGCCATGCCACGGGGTAGTCCCGGCCCGTCCCGGCCACCCCTCGCTGCCGCCGTGCTCCGTGGAGCATCGCGCATCCCGATTGGCCGAGCCGCCCGACCGCACCCCTCCAGCCAGCCAGCCAGCCCGGCGGGCAAGGCCGCCGTCGACACCGAGACCGAGTACACCAACCGCCATCACCGACAGGCCATTCACCATATCTTAAAATGCGATTCCGTTAGGCTGGGCCGCGAGTGTGTGAGTGCGCTAGTGTGGGGTCGCCGCGTCGCGTCGCCGCGGAGTCCCGTAAAACCGCCGAGGCCGAAACGACGCCGAACGCCTTTACTGCCAGCCGATAATTATTCGGTCTGCTTTTATTGGGCGTTCCGGGGGCACTTTTAGGCAGTCGGTCCGGCCGGCCCGCCCGGCCCACTCCCCCGCACCTGTCTCTCTCACTCCCTCTCGCTTCCTCCTCCCGTGTGACTCACCTGGGCTCCCCCCTCCCCTCAAATCACTTCCCGTGACACCTTGTCATCGATATTCCCGAGGGAGACGGGCCGATTCCGAACGGCACAGTCGTCGCTCTGTCTCTCTCGCACCCCGACGGGACGCCCCGTGAGAGCGACGGAGACGGGGCGACGAAGGCCCTGCTTGGGAGTCAGCCCACTGAGGTGCAGCTCGTGTTGTATATGCGCACGCGCGCACACGACACTCACTCGCGCGTGCGTGTACGTGGCCGGTGCGTGAGCCCATCGACATGTGCCTCATGACTCGTGCCACCGCTTATGTCACACATTTGGCAGGCCGGCGGCGGGCCCGCGGCTGGGCCCATGGCAGAACGCGACGGGCGGTCTTGTCTCGGGGTGTCACTGCCCCCAGCCATCAAATTTGACTTGGCTATTAATATGTGCCCGTACGTCGCTATCTAACCTTGCGTGGCCGCGAGCGGAGAAAACATCAACATTCGGATTGGTTGACTTCTGACGATGGGTTTATTCTTCCTGTTCAAAATTTGCTGCAATGCGGAGTTGTTTTCTAGCATTTAGCACAATCAGCGCCGAGCGCGCCAACGAGAAGAAAAACGGCGGGCAGCAATCGCCGCACTTCGCAGCGGGGGACAATATTAGGACAATCTGTCGGCGCGTGTCGGGGTGGGAATACTGCTCAACAAGTCAACAAGGCACAAGGCGTTTTCGCCCTCGCCCGCTTGCATGGCTTGCGCGGAGGGGTCGGGAAGGGTCGGGGAGGGTCGGCGGAGGGGTCGAACACGTCAATCCGATTCCTGGGCAATCGGCGCGCTATTGAGGAGCCAACAAGAGCCTCGAGGCTTCATCGAATCAATGGGCAGGCCGTGGCAGGCCTGGGGGCGCGGCCTCCCGCCTGCGGGTCAGCCAGCCAGCGGGCCAGTCTCTGTCTCCCTCGCACCCACGGAGCGGCGGGGGACGAGAGAGAGACAGCCAAGAAACCAGTGTCCGGGGTCCATCCGCCTGCAGAGGAGGACCTGCAGGCAAATGGGATCAGAGCGGGCACGCCACTACAGCGCACAGTGGGCCAGACGCCGGTGGAGGCGGCCAAAACTCTAGACGCGTTTTGAGCTCCAGAGTCGCTAAGCAGGACTCGAACCGAACGTGTGACCCCACCAATGGACTGCTCACCGAACGAGGAATCCATTGGTGGGGTCACACGTTCGGTTCGAGTCCCATTTAGCAACTCTGGAGCTCAAAACGCGTCTAGAGTTTTGGCCGCCTCCACCGGCTTCTGGCCCACTGTGCAGCGCCAGTTCGACTTGCGATTCGATTTACGACTTTTCGTGCACCCAGCAGCGCGCAGCACGCCTCGACTCTCACATCCGAGATCGACTCCGAGGCAGCAGACAGCGGCCGGCCTCGCGGGGTGTTCCGTGTTCCTCCGCGGCCCCTACACCATAAACCGATGACGCGCTCCCCGCAGCCGTGACGGACGGCACGGACGACACGACTCCTACACCCACAACAAATAACGCCACTCCCCCATGCGTTTTAAAAAGCGTCGCATATCGCATGACCCGTCGGCGCGCCGCGTCGCGTCGCTGCATCCTTTGCGTGACAACAAACCATCCGGGTGGAAGTGGATACAATGTCTTCTTCAGCGGGGCGCGTGGCCCGCCGCCTTTTTTCACATCATTATTGACTCGCTGGAAATCTCCAGCTCCAGGGCAGGACCCCCAGCCATGCGTGATGCTTATCGCCAGCGTCGCGACGCCGCGCCGTGCCGTGCCATGCCGTGCCGTGCCGCGCCGTGCCGTCTCGGCAGCAGCAGCGCCGGGCGTCGCGCGACCCGCATGGGCCGCCACCCCTTCTGCCCGATCCTCCTTATTCCGACACAATAACTCTCATTCTCGGCCACGTGCTCCAGGACCTCCACGGCCTCCACGGCCATTCCGAGACACCCCTTCCGTCATCGCAAACTCCATCAAACACACTCACGCACAGTGGGCCAGAAGACCGGTGGAGGCGGCCAAAACTCTAGACGCGTTTTGAGCTCCAGAGTCGCTAAACAGGCTTTGAGAACCGAACGTGTGACCCCTCCAATGGATTGCTCTCCGAACGAGGAATCCATTGGTGGGGTCACACGTTCGGTTCGAGTCCTGTTTAGCGACTCTGGAGCTCAAAACGCGTCTAGAGTTTTGGCCGCCTCCACCGGTCTTCTGGCCCACTGTGTCACGTCAGGCCTGGAGGCTGATTCCGTATCATCCCGTCTCGCGCGCTCGTCGGCGTGCCACAGGAGTGCGAGAGAGACAGAGCGAAACGGCTCCACCAAACACTGGTCCTCCCAAAAACGCGCCACTAATCCCCCGAAACGCGGCTCTGTGTAAACACGCACGTGGCGCGGCGCGGCGAGTCGCGGCGACGCCACAATGCTGGCTGCGTGCGCGCTGCGTGCGCGTGAGCGCGCGTCGCCGAGCGCTCGTGTGATTTTAGTGATTAACCTTGTTAAGCGAATGAGTGTGCACACGACGCCCCCTCGGCTATGCGCCGCTCGTCGGCACGGCCATGGGGGATCTATGTGCGTG